TTGGTTGATAAGAAAATTATTTTAGCAAATGTCAATAATCTTTCCCATCAATTCAAATTATGTATTTATCTCATTTAAATTTTTTTTCTTTTTATACTTACGTCTTAAACGAATCAGTTCTACATTGAACCATAACATCAGAGTTAAGTCAAATAAGAGTTAAGTCAAATCAGAGCAAATAAGTTCTTCGAGACAAAGTTGAATCATGCATCATTTGAAACCATAGTATCGTGTCAATAAAAAGTCATTACAGCGTCGCATTATCAAGTTTAAGAAGTACGACAAAAGGTTTGAATCCTTATTACATTTGCAGCATACTTATACAATATTATGATTCAGTAAACTCCGAAATTTATAACAGGATATGTAGGAGAAACTTTTACAATAATTCGAATCCCACAAATTTTAATATCGGTCTGATTTAAAGGAAAGCGAAATTTGTTTTATTTAAATTAAATATAAAGGGATTGAATGTGTATAACACTTCCGAATTTCGAACATAATTAAGCTATAAATAAAAACAGATAGCTAGGACTTGTTGCTTGTGCGTGTTTAACCCCTTCCTTCTCGCTCCCATTTTATTTCTCATTTTATACACCAGGTGGCAGTACCAGGATATTTTAAAGATAATTGTAGATAGTTAGTTTATTTTAAACTAGATGTCAGCAGTAATCAAGTACGTAATACAAATACAAAAGCCAAAAAATAGGCACTTTTATGACCGTTTTCTTAAAAATTAACCGATTGTTAAGGGGTTAAGAAGCATGAAGATTTTGTTGCACCGAATTTATCCCAATCACATAAAATGTATACAAACGACAGCATAATTCTATTGAGGAATTACAGAATGGAATTTTTTTTTTCTATTGCATGATATTTTTTTTAGTAGAACTTAAATACTTTCGTATCGCTGATTACAAATCTGCAATTGTTTTTTTTTTCTCCAAGCTACGTTTGTTTTTAAATAACATTTTACATCTATTTTTTGCGGAAGTGCACGAGTTTAAAAATGTTACATATCTATAACAGTTGATCGTATAAATGTTGCGGCTGACTTCCAGAGGGGTTAGAGCATATCCCAAGTATTAAAATTGCATGGAAAGCCATGCCCGAAAATGTCATCATACGCCGTTAGGAGCGCTTTCCTATTATGAAATGCTTCTTCAATTGCTTCTGAACAGGTCATAATAAGGAAGCATCCTAAGCCACGTACGACGACATTTCCGGGTATGAGTTCCTAAGCAATTTTAATCCTGATGATGCACCTTAACTACCTAGAAGTTTGTTGTGACATTTATACGATCCTCTGTTGTATATAACGTTTTCAAACTTATACATTTCGCCAAAAAATAGATTAAGAATGTCATTTAAAAAACTGTTGCTTTAGCAGCAAAAATAATTTCAGTTATCCTCAGTCCGGAATCAGGCAATATCCAGTAATTTGTACAAATGAAACAAAAAATATGTTCTCCAGTGTCATCTATCAGTGTTAAGTAATTAAAATGTAAATTTTTTATCCTTGCTGAAGTATTCCGACAGAGGTTCGATGGAAGAACGATAAAGAAGATTCGAGAATTGAACTCAAAACTGTTAAATATCTAACGCACCAAATAACATGTTTTTGTTTTGTTTTTCTTAAAAAATTTATATTGGATAATATTGTACAGTAACTTTATATACATTTATTCCGTCAAAGTCATTCTAATCAAAATCACAAATTGTAGCGAAAGTTTTTTTTATTTTGGAGACTTCCATACTTCCATTTGAATTATAAATTTGTTTGTTTTACCTAGGATTATAAAGAACAACTAGTAGTTAACCAAATCACAAATCCGAATAAAAAAAGGAATTCAGAATAAAAAAAGAAAGCTTCACTAAAAATACATGATTTTATAAGCTGCAGTCTCTAGCACTTATGGATGAGAAAACCAATTTATTTTTTTAATGAGAATTTTTATAAATAAGCGAAATCTTTACCACAGTTAAGTCTTTAAGTTAAATTACTTTAAAGTCTTACTACTTTTTAAGTTAAGTCTAAAAATATTTGAGAATATTATGTCCACTTTTGCCTTTGCCTATTTCAGTAACTATATGAAATTTTAGTCTAAAGTGCTTGCTGGCTATAAAATTTGGTCTGCTCAAACTTTTTGACTTGTCATAATATTCTCTCCAGTTTAAGTTATGCCCGTTTTACTTTTTCTTCATTTTGTAAGCTTAGACTGAGACTTTTAGAACTTAGTTTCACAGCTCAAAGTGTCCTCAGAGTGATTAAAATTGGAAATGGTAAGGTTGCAGAGAAATTTAAAAATTGATCCCATTAAGTTTAAATTATCCTATACACAAAGTGAACTAAAATGACCTTTAAACAATTTTTTCCATTGTTTTTTCGGTCATTCTACATTAAGCTGTATACAGATTAAACCAAGCAGTGTGAAAACGCAAATGAATAACGAAAAAGAAAACAATTCTTCGTATCAATTAAACTTCTTACCACTTTTATCTTGTTTACATCATTACTTTATAATAATGGCTTTTTTTGAGGAATTGCACTTCAAAAGTAGGTCAAATATTGTGATTTTCTTTGACAATGATTCCATTGAAAAAATTAGAAAAAATAAAGTTTGAACATTTTGTTTACTATGAAAGAAATGTTAGTTTGAATCATTCACGTCGGAATCAAAAATTTGAAGGGAAAAAATAAAATTATGAAATAAAGTTTTAACGTTTTGTTTGCTATGAAATAAATGTTAGTTTGAATTATTCACGTCGGAATCAAATGATATTGATCTTAAAGATATAAAAGCAAACGTACTAAATTAATGTGTATTATTCAGCATGTCCTTTAGCTTTAAATTTGTCAGCATAAAAATTATCTTTCAGTTTTCACTGTTAAAATATAAATCAAAATTAATTATTCTCAAAAGAATTAAAACTTTTACTTCAAACAAGAAAAGAAACTTTTACTTAAAAATTTTAATTTTACCCTCCAGCTCTTTCCCAACAAGCGTAACGCATTTTTAAAGAATAATATAGCAGACTAAATGTTATGAAAAATTAATTTCTGAAAAGCATGTGCTAATGAGCAAGACGAGAAACTCATCGCCTTGTTATATTATGCATTTCATGCCAGTCTGAAAGGTTGTCATAATTTTAAAACGTAATTATGAATGATTGATAGTATTCTTGTTGTAACAGACGACAACTGGATGTTTCTGAATATTATAATTTTTTAGTTACTGTTGGAGATAGTACAAATCATTTCTTATTTAGCGTTCATAAGTTCAAGAATTGTGTAATTAAATTGGTTTAGTTGCTTAAAAATATACCAATGTATAAATTTTTATATTTAGAAATTGAATTAATTATTAGTGAGCATAAAAAACAGAGTTAAAATGCAAGTGCATTCCAATGTTTTCTTTCATTCACTTACACTTTTAGAAAGTTAATTGCATATAGGTAGATTTGAGTTTTTTTAAGTTACTTTGAAATAAAAATTAAAACTTACAAGCATTTTGCATTTTTAACTACTGGTTAACCATATTTTAACTAGTAAAAAATAACGAAAGAATTCCCAAACTCAAATTGCTATCGTGATTAAATTAAGATTGAAAGAATACATTACTGTCTTACAAGACGTGTCAGGAAAGTAAGTACCATATTGGAAAAACTCGCATACCAATGTTTTTTGTTTGTTTTTTGAACAAAATTTATTTTTACATGAAGTTTCGTTTCGAAAGCGATTTTTCTACATAGTTGCCACCATTGTTCAGACATTTATCGAAATGGAAAATCGAATTGTCTACATCCTCTTAAAAGAAAGATGCCCCTGTGAAGACAATCACTTCAGAAACCGTTTTTATGCCTCTTCATCACTGCCAAAGCACCTTCCTCCAAAGCTACACTTCAAAAAAAAAGTAGTTTTGTGAAGGTGCGAGGTAGAGTCTGTACGGCAGGTGATCGAATTGCTCCCAACCTATCACTGAATATGTTTTTCAGAGACACTATCAGAACGTGCGTTGTCATAAAGTTACACTATGTCTTGACTGAGCATTCCTCGTCCTTTGTTATGAATCTCAAAACGCAGTTTTCGCAATGCTTCACAATATCGTACAGCATTAATGAACTTTATCACAGAACGCACCTCACAGTCGGCTGGATCAGTTTAGATCTTTTGAACTTAGACGTCTTAATTTTGAATACTAACTTCACTGTAGACACAACCTAATTTCCTTAACAACTTAACTATAAATACAACACAATCCCGCTGTTATAGCATCAGAGGACAGACTATCAACCAGATACACGTGTGCGCATGCGTGAAACTGACACACTACCCCTGCTGTTGCGGTAGAACTATTATGTACTTAATTTCCAGGAAAACTTACTACTGTACTTAATATCTGTACTTATTTTCCATTCCTCGGAAAATATTAAATCAAAAATAAATCCGCATTTTACTTAAGCACTTAAAAAATTTGCTTCAACGATGAACCATAATGCTGATATTCTGGATCATGATGCGCTGAAGGTTTGTTAATGTATAAATAAGGTTCTAAATTAAAATATATGTTCACTTAAGTTGACCCATGACATTATATAATTAAATTTAAAAAATACAATAATGAGATTCAATTTATCGAGATTTAAGCAAATTTGAAGATTTAAAACGCTTCAAAGTTTTTAACAGAGTTATGTTTGATTTTAAAAAAATATTAATACTTGGTTACTTTAACAGATAATACTTTATCATAAAAGTGATTTACAATGATGTACTTTAAAAACATAAAAATGATTCATTACTAATTTGCATAAATTATCAATAAACTAAACTTCTCATTAATAAACTCCTTTAGAAACATAAGAAAAAAATCTTATCCGATTATTTTTATCAATATTTCTAAACACAGCAAATTCCATTAATTCTAACTCTTCAGGAATTCATTTCATCGTTGAATAAACGATTATTGGATTGAAATAATTGAATCTGGTTCTTTTTGCAGTTCTTCAACATGGCTAGCGTATTTATGAAAATCTTCAACTTGATATGCATGATGCTGCTGATAGGACATTGGAGTGGCTGTTTGCAGTTCCTCGTGCCCATGCTACAGGGCTTCCCCCCCAACTCCTGGGTCGCAATCAATGAGCTTGAGGTATGAATCTTCTCTTATTTAATTACTTCTTCAAGAAAAATAAATTTACAAGAAGTTCCCGCAGTACTTGTAGATCTATTTTAACGAAGATTTGGTTTTAAAAAAATTATATGGTTGTTTTTCGAATCAATGAACTAATTTATAATAGCAATCCCTTACAAAAAAATAAGTATTTTGTGGTAAATTTGAGGTTGTTGTTTTGAGGTGTCAAGGTTTATTTGAGGTTTATTAGAAGTTGATTTTAAAAACCACCTTAGAAGATCAACCTCCCAATGTGTATAAAGTTGTTTTATTCACACTTGAGATTGATGAAGTTAAAAGAAGTTCCTGGAGTACTTGTATATCTGAGTCAACGAATATTTGGTTTTTTAAAAAAATGAAAATTATATGGTTGTTTTATCGAATCAATAAACTAATTTATAACAGCAATCCCTTACAAAAAAATAAATATTTTTGTGGTAAATTTGAGTTTGTTGTTTTGAGGTGTCAAGGTTTATTAGAAGTTGATCTCAAAAACAACCTTAAAAGATCAACCTTCCAAGGTGTATAAAGTTGCTTTATTCACACTTGAGGTTAATGAAGTTAAAAGAAGTTCCTGGAGTACTTGTATATCTGTGTCAACAAATATTTGGTTTTTTTAAAAAATGAAAATTATAGAGTTGTTTTATCGAACCATTAAACTAATTTATAATAGCAATCTCTTACAAAAATTTAAAGTATTTTTTAGGTAAATTTGAGGTTGTTGTTTTGAGGTATCAAGGTTGATTTGAGGTTTATTCGAAGTTGATTTCAAAAACAACCTTAAAAGATCAATCTCCCAAGGTGTGTTTTATTGACGTTTGAGGCTTATGACAATCTACTTTAGAGCAGCCAACTTAGGGAGGTTGTATTTGAAGTGTACAATTTATTTTTTCTTCACTTCAAGCAAATACGTATATTTAAGGTGTGGATAATTTCATCCGATCTGAACTAAAATTATTTGATTGAGGTAGATTTTGTGAGGTGTAAATGAGGTTGAAATTGAGGTTTATTAATGAGGTTATTTTTGATGCAGAACATAACTTCATTTTCTACCTTTGGTGTAGTTCTTTACATCTGTCAACCCCAAAATGACCTCAAAAACACTTTATTTTTTGTAAGGGATATTTGATTTTCAAAAACTTTATATAAATTAAAATCTCAAAAGCATTTTTTTAAGAAAGGTATTAAAACATTTCTATTGTCAAGAATAAAAGAATACCTTTTGAATGTTGGATTTTTAGAAAAACTTGTGATTAAAACTTATTTATAATCATAGTGGACTTAATTCAATTTATTAATACGTCCTACGTTCAAAGTCCCTTATTAGGTGTTTTTTTAAACATTATCACTATTTTTGACAGAGTTATTCTAAAATGCACTGAAAAAAGAAGTTTCTCTAAATTGAACAAAAATGTGCCAAAATAGCTCCGCAACGAATAATACTCAAATTTTAAAATGTCACACATTCAAAATTGAAGCAGAATATACTAGTTTTTGAGCAAAATACATAGTCTCAACAATGATGTGGAGGGAGAATTGTGCAAGCGAGATGTTCGTTAATTACTGACAGGTTTCGAACGAAGGATCTCCGGATTCATAGTAAGATACTCTCCCCACTATAGTTGTACACCTCAGAAAGAATTAAGAAGCTTTATATAGTAACAGCCGCAATGACACTTCATGACATACTGATTTCCACTTTTATTAATACAAAGTGTTGCACTTTGCAAAATATGGACCCAATAGCTTAGGTTATTTTAATTTTACTTTTTGCTTAGTTTGCTTATCTTTAAACAATTTTAGTGAAAGAAGTGTATGTAATGGTGTGTCATTGCGGCAGTCACTATATAAAGATTCCTAACTATCCCTGTAATGGGGTTAAAACTATATGGTGTTAAGAGATTTTTACTATGATCTCAGAGGTCCTTGGTTCGAATTCTTGCTGGCAGCCAAAAGAACATCTTCCTCCCTCCACTTCTCTGTTGATACTATGCATTTTGCTCAAAAATGAGTATAGTCTGTTTCAGTTTTTAACACACGGGGTTTATTGGGTTTATGGGGTTTATTGGGTAAGAAATTTGACTACTATTTGCTTCGTAGCTATTTTGACACTTATTTACTCAATTTTTAGATACCTTTTTTGTACAGTGTATGTACTCAATTTAGTTAATTTGCATTTAAGAAAGTATAAATTGGCCATGAACCATCTACATGCTAATGAAAAAGGGTGATTCAAAGCTTTTAACATGAGTTATAAATATTCATTTTGTCCTCCAATGTGCAGCAGGGCAGTCATCTAAGTGACAGCCAAACTGCTTCCACGCTCGAAAAGGTCTCAAAGTGTATCACAACAGCGCCACGGTTCCGCAGGTCACCTAAAACCGTTGGTGGTAGAGATAGGGAGTTAACAGCCACCTTAACATATCCTCACAAGAAAAGTTACAAAGGATGGGATTGGAATGTATCAGAACTATCGGGCAGGCGAAAACATTATCCTGCATAATAGCCATCTTACTCTCCTCTGATAGTGTAGCTAAATACCTGCCTATTTCCGTACTCGATCACACTATTACCGCCGAAGTGGTGGTAAAAAGAGTCTTCCGATTTTTCCCTTTCCATTAATTTGTAGATTCTACATTTCCAATTAATATTTTGATTAAATTTGGTCCACTTTTAAATTACTCTGTACTTCAAGATTTTAGCCTGAATAATACTGCTGTATGTACAATATAGAAAAGATTGAATAAAATAGATAGCATTGTTAAAAAATTATTGAACAGGAAAAAATCATTTCATCAAAGCGATAATAAAGAGTCGGGCAGTGTTTAAGACACTCAGCTATGACTGTGAAAGAACAGAGTAGACATAGTGGTACTCATATTCTTAAAATCTACTAAAACAAGTAGGTCTTATACTAAAAAACAATCATTTAGCTTCTACTGTACACAATTAAAGTACAATTAAATTCATAAGCCGTGGTGGCTGAGGGAATAGAGCGCTCGATTCCCAATGATTTAAAACCGGGTTCGAATTCCAGCGAGGGCTGGTCGATGCGAATTCTACACCTGGCTAGCACCGACCACAGTGCAGATGAAAAATATCCTTATTAGTAGAGTCCTCTTGCCATCAGGCTAACCAAGGGAGGTTTTCGTGGTTTTCCTTTCCTTGTAACGCAAATGTGGGTTAGTTCCATTAAAAAGTCCTCCACAGAGGCTAATTTCTCCAATACTTGATCCAAAAATCCAATTGTTTTCTAGATAGGGTTCAAAAGCTTGTACACCTAATTTTCGAGTAAAGTAGAAGAAATAAATTCCAGAACTCTACATAATTGGTGTAAAATGCAGCTATTGCGAATATGGAATGGCGCGTTATTTGTTAAAAAAATTTGTGTGTGTGTTTTGGCAAATGTCGGGCTTGACAGACATACGTTCTCTCTACTTAATGTACTTTAATGTGCAACATAGGTGGTTTAAAAAATAACTTTCAATTTCTTTGCATTCACCAAATGATTATTTTCAAATACTTTAAGATTGTATTCACGTGATCAGAACGAACCATTCTTTATAAAATGAACATTGTAAAAATTTGACCCAAAGCCTCTATCTTACAGAAGTAAATAATATATAAACAAAATCATTCTCTTATCACGCCTCTATTGTGTCAAAATAGCCATTTATAAATCTCTATCAGTACACTTCAAATATAAAGTTAAGCTTTAAATGTGGTTGCTCTGCCGCAATGTTGGTTTGACACTTTAATTAAATGTTTCATTCACCTACTAATTAATAGAGCACATCTATGTAAGAAGATATCCGTTGATTAAAATTTAAAACCAAATGCAAATGCTTAATTCAAAGACAGTGACTTGAAGTTTTAACAATTACATGACATCGCAAAGCCTAGCTGCACATTACTATGATTGTATATTTTCCTATTGTTACGGTTTATGGCCCCCTGTGACGTCAATCAGATCATTCCTATCATCATAGTAATTGAAGAAAATGTCTCAGTAAGGAAGGAGATTGAATTAAATTAATTAAGAATTCTAATATATTAAAAAGATAATTATTTTCGCTATATTTCATTCAAATATTTAAGTTTAATTATAACTTTAACATTAAATTCATATTAATAACAGCCAACTGGTCAGAATTCCTTTAATTTAAATTTTCACTATATCCCATTCAAATATTTAAGTTTAATTATAACTTTAACATTAAATTCATATTTATAACAGCCAACTGGTCAGAATTTCGTTAATTTAAATGTTAATTTAACTACTATTTCTCCTACATCTTCGTAAATTTCAAAGTACTCTTTTACATTGATTTTTAGAAGCTGTGTTTTCTAAATATAACTGTTATGTTTTAAAGTGTATTCTCGCATGCTAAACTTGATTAGTTTTTTCTATTGAACTTAAAAATATGTGTTAGTAATATTTCGTTAATAAAACAATATATAAAAATATAACGAGGTCTATAGAAGTTAATGGTTTCACCAGGCATTTTTTTAATACAGTATGAGAATTTTTAACAGATCTCAGATACTTCCGCATCTCTGATTTCAAATTTGCTGTTGGTTTCCACCTTCAAGTTATAGCCTGTTTTTAAAAGGACATTTTTAGTCTATTTTGTGTCGAAATGTGCAATTTTCAAAACATTTTATATGACAGGGGTTTATATAAATGTTGCGATAAACTTTAAGGGTAGTTAGGGCAGATCATTAAAATTAAAACTGCATAGGAACCCATACCAAGAACATCATCATACGCCGCAACGGGCACTTCCCTCAAATGTGCCACTGAACCGGTCATAATAAGAAAATATCCCTAGCCGAAAAAGACGAGTATGGGTTCCTAAGCAGATTTAATTATGTGCCCTTACTCCTCTAAAAGTTTGTTGCAATATTTATCATATATAACGTTTTCAAAATTGTACATAAAATAGAAATAGAATTAAATAGGCAAAAAAGACTAAAAA